GGATTTGTTGGCCCCATCATCACATTCTGCTGCTGCGGCTGGTAGGTTGGTTGGAACGGACCAAAGGGGTTGGACTGTTGTTGAGCCATTGCAGCCATTTGAACTCCAGGTGGGGGAGCAACATTGTTTGACAAAGCAAATGGGTCTTGGACCTCAAACGGATTCGGGGCCGGTGCTCCATAAACAGGTTGCTGAGCAGCCCTATATGCTCCTTCATCGTATAAGCTGTTCAGAGTAAGTGAGTCTAACCCACCAGCCTGACAGACGGAAAACATGAATTAATCAGATTGCAAGCCATTATCAAATAGTGAGAAGATATCTGTACTTCATACGGTTAGTGACATGTATTTTTTTTATTACAATGATCATGGACAACAGAAATAATGAAGGATAAAAACTGAAAATTTTAAATGCATGGTTAACTGATGATCATGGGCCTACCAATTGCCTCTCGTTAACTGATGAAATGTTGTTACTTGGAGTGGTAACCAGGGCAAGTTCCCAACCAGTAGGATCAAAATCTTTTGGCTGCACAGCACTAGAATTGAATGTTGGAGCTGCATCTGCAAATAAAAGTGGGAGAAAATACAAGCCACCAGAGTCAGATGTCAGGGTGGCATTATTTGAAAAGTGAAGAGAAATAATGAAACAAAATGTTACCAGTTTCGGATGAAACTATGGCTAAAGCCAAAGCATTTCTTTCCTCCATCACAGATACATCAGCTGCAGTATAATCCAAACCCTGAACCCACAAAAGGAGATTTATTGGGGCGAACAAATTGGAAAAACAGATATAGAGTAAGAAGCTTTGTAGAATAAAAAGAAACAAAAACAGAGTAAAAGCTTAAAAGAAAGAACTGATAATGTACCAGTAAATCTCCTGTGTCCTGGCTACTTTGAGGAGGAGGAGGTGGAGGTGGGGAAGGAGTTGCAGTCTCAACATTTGACACAGGTACAATGTCTAGAGGTGCTGGCTCAGATTCATCACTAGATAACTTTGTGTCTTCAGAAGGCTCTTCTGGTCTATATGTCAACTGAAGCTGTTCACAACGACCAGATATTAATTATCTATATCAAAAGAAATTTCCATTGATAAACGAACTTAAGTGGTCAAAACTCAGAACGCTAGAAAATCTACGTAAGTGGTCAAAACTTAAGTCAAAGATGACAAATTTGAAATAGATTTTGGCGACAAGGTATCTCGGATCAAGAAAAGAAGAAAAAAGAAAAAGAAAGAATACCAACCAATGGCTCATGTGGAACTGTAACAGCCCGTGGTGCCTCTCTTATATACTCTTCCATTGTTGTGAGGAAGGATTGTGGAGGCTGAAAAAGTGACAACAAAGTAATTAGTATAAACTGAGAAACTTGCAAAAAAGGAATTAAAACAAATACATTGGATCCCTGTAAGACCTCTCTCAAAACGGGAAACTGGAAATTCCTAGCAAGTTCCAATCTTTTGCAAACTTCATAAAAATCAGAGAGACCTGCAGCCTGCATCAAAGACCAAAGATGTCTTTAATAGAGCAGCATTAGCCTAAGCCACTTGACCTTAGATCATCAATAACTGATGCTGCTAATGCAATCAATAAAAATAATCAATTCATAAGTGAGACCAAAATTATTGCAGATCTTAACCTGCTGACCAGCTCGTTTATAAACATCAAGGGCTTTAACTGCTTCATGTCTTGGCATCTCAAAAAACTGCAACAAAAGCAGACTTCTTACAGCAGGCAAATTCGAGAAACAAATAGCAATTGTTAACATAGTATTTGCATGAATGATATAACTGATTTACCTTATCAACAAGATTTATAATTCCATCATTGACAGCACAATAAATTTTAAAGCTCTCTTTCAGTACCTGAAAATACAGGGTAAAAAAGGTAAGATATAAAATCAAATATAGCCCTTTGTCTGTTATTTGTTAAACTGGCTTTAACAGCTTAATGACTAAAGCTCTCTTTTTGATACTCCATTAACAATCTAAATAACATTTTCATATCTGGGAGAAAATAAAACAAAACTGGACTTGCAGGTCATACCAGGGCCAGCGCATACTGTATAACGTAGTTGACGCCAGCTACTCCTTCTGGCTGTAAAGTCAGAAAGCAACATAAATTATTTTGCACAAATATATTACTAGGATAAAAACAAGATTTGTACACATGTTTGGATGAAAAAGATAAATAGCAAGTTCCCGATATGCTACCCGGCAACCAATAAGGCGATACAGCAGCTGTTGTAGAGCAGGCAACTGCTCCAAGAGTTCCTCGCTATCCAATTCCCGGGTTCTACTGTAACCCTGTAAGTATATAAGAAAAGAAAAGGAAATATATGGTGAATCGTAAGAAATAATGATCATTTTGTAAGGAAAAAGAAAGCATCTGAACCTAGGAGTCATCATCTAATCCATATTAGTAATGGACTGTGGAAAAAATAAAGGTTTATGAGACAACTTAAAAGTTGATAATTAATAAACAGAGATCAATCTGAAGGTAATGCAAAATCATGTTCTACTTTTGAATTCATATTTGTCACTCAGTTGTTCTTTCTATAAAAAAATGCTGCTATAGTGCTTTGTCCTTATTATCCAGAAAAAGGTATGACGAATTATTTGGTAAGTACCTTCTCCTGCCCCTGGGCAGGCCTTGGAAGACGTTCAGCTTCAATGTCATACTTCAGAACCCTAAAGCATTCAAGTCGTTCCTCCAAAAACAATGCATAAGTACGCACCCAGGCAGAGCAATCCCAAGCTGCAGAGGAGGAAAAGCAATGCCATAATCATCAATTAGTTATTGTTGAGCTATAGATGTGTTTGTGTTCAAAATCATCATGTTCTAGTAAAAGATGTGTTTGTGTTTCTTCAATTTGGAGTTCAAAAGCAACGTCATAATTTCAAGTACTGCAACTCATAGCTCATAATGACACGCAGATGAGAAGGACAAAGAATGAGAGAGATTTAAGGCATTTAAAATTCACCAATAGGACTGGAATCGTCTTTGAAATTAGAAAGCTGGAGAATTCGTCCTCTCTGAGAGAAATTTAGAAGTTCTTCTCTGAAAGTAGGATCACCCTCCCGCAAAGTCCTATGGATAACTATCAATGTTTTTAAAGCCACCTGCCAATGCCAAACACAGAAATGATACATGCAAGTTTAGCAGGGAAGAATAAATATATACACGCACATAAGCATATTTATCCATAAGAAAATGATGAGCCATATACTGCTAAAAGGAAAACGTCAAATAAGAGTTATTTCATCTCATGCAGTTGGCTTCACGATGCTAATGCTGAGAAGAATTTAGTTTTTGAGACAGAATTGAACCAGATGAGTAGAAGACCATGATAGAGTTCACAAATGCTTAAACAAAACTTCAGATCTTTCATAAATCGCAACTATGCACACACAAAACGCAGTACTTATGAACTTTGTCTCCTCAATTAGTCTAGTGAAAGTAATGGAAACTAAGGAGAGGATCAACAACTGGTAAATATGTCAGAGCCTAAGGTCAGTCTTCAACTGTAATGTCATTGTCTAACACTACAATAGCATGCATTGAGTAACTTAGGCACATCTACGTGGTTTAAGAAAGCAACCAAGTACGAGTCCGAGCAAATCCAAATGATATCAACAGAAACGTGCACACACACAGAGAACCTCATATAGTATGGCATGTTAAACAATAGTATTAAGCAAAACCCAATTGAAATTCAAAAGAAGAAAAAAAAATCATTTAAGTCCAATAAACGTCCAATACAAAATTGAAAAGTATCGCATTGCAATTGAATGGATAAGCGGCATACCGTCCAATTATGGGTCTTGTTTAATCTTCTTGAAAGAGCATGAATGCAATAAGCAACATCCGCTCGTGGCCTAATTGCCGATGTGGCAATCAGGATTTCTGCATCCAATACACCCCCAAAAAAAGAATCAATATTTCGCTAAAAAATCAACGACCCATTTGATAAATGAAACGAACAAAAGAATGGATCTGAAAATCAGAAATAGAAAAGAAAAGAAAGAACTGACTTCTGAGATGTCTCTCCTTGGGCGGGCACTCGACGTGGTTAGTGGCTTTGACTATAGCAACATCCAAATCCTATTCTTAGAACACAGAATCCAAAATCAAAATCCAATTTAGATATCAAAAATCTAAGTTTTTTTAAAATAAATTAGATAAAAAGAAAGGAATGTTACCGCGTAATCGCTGTTGACGTGGGCAAGGCCGACTTTGGTGGTGTCTTTGAGAGCCCCGTAGGCTTTTCTCCACGTCTGAAGCGTCCCCATTTCTCTACTACTATACCTAAACTGCTTCGCCGCTCAGATCGCGGTCTTTCTTTTTTTCTCTCTCTCTCTAGAAGAATGCACTGACCTGGCTTTCAGACCTTGTTTCTCTCTTTTTCTCTCTCTCCCTGTGGCTCCGATGCTTTGGGGAAGAGAGAGGATAGCAAAGGACTTGATGGAATGCGAAGAAAGAATTCAAGAAAGACAGGCTGCAAAGTAGAAGAGAAGAGACGCACTCATACGGCGTCGTCTTTTATTCGAGTTTTTCCGTTTTATTCTTGGCCTTATTTTTTGAGGAGATGAGTGTTTTTTCCATTTTTTTTTCTTTTTTCGGTTCGGTGCGTGCGTCATCATTCACATATAATATAATTAGTGTCCCACTTTCACCACAATTACAAGTAACGAATATATACTTTCGTTATAATTAATGTCTCCTTATTATATAATATTCATATAAATTTTTGTTTATCTCAGTGCACATTTACCACAATTTTATTTTTATCATAGGCTTTCTATTATTAAGTAGTTCCAACTTTTATCTGATTCAGTCAACTTGTATCAAGTCGTGAATGCGCCTTTTATTTATTTAATAAGAATGAACGCATGAATGATGAGACCTGGACTGAGTGCATATGATCCAACTCATATATTATATTGTAATTTGTAACAAATTATTAAAAAAATATTCAGACAGTAGTTTCTGAGAAGCTGGTGATGAAGAAGAAGCAGAGCTTTAGCTTTAGGCATAGCTGGACCAAGAAAAATGAGAGCCTCTGAAATGAAAGATGCTGCAGAGCGTCTGCACGTGCATCTTGCTCTCTTCCTGCCACATGCCACCCAGCTTGGTTTAATCCTTCCATAACAGGATCCCTTCCGCACACCACGGGAATAGACTGTTTTGTTCCCAAAGATTTTGCATCTAGAACAACTGTTGAACATAAATTTTCCAACACTCAAAAGAAAATATTTGACCAAAGAAAATTCGTAGGTGGTGCGCTCACCAACAAATTGATTTAATCAATCAATCCTTGAGCTAGATCAACGAAGAACAACTGTTCCAGTCTCTTGAACTATCTGGTCGGTTGGACTATATGCAATCAAAGCCTTTTAATCTTGTGGTGCAAGTCAGAGATTATGAGCTTGGTGAATTATAATTCATTCATTGAGAAGAAAAGATGCTGTAAAACAGCTGAGAGCTCTCCTCCTACCAATCTACACACAGAGCATTTATATTGACTGTTGAAAATTTGAAGTAAAATTTATTCACATAATGAGGTCATTAATAAATGGAGAGTTTAGCTTGATGGTCCCAGAGGCCACTAGGAGTGAGAAACTCCAAATCGGTAGCAACCACAGAAACACAAACTTCAGAATTTTCTTGCCTGCAAAAACAAAAAACAAAGAGATAACTCCAGTTAGTAGCTGACAATCCCAGATTCAGCATCATTCATTCATTGGTATTTTTCAATACCTACGTCCATTGATTTAATGATTCTAACATTGTCTCTCTAATTTAAAGGGTAACTCACTTGCAACATTATGGTTTTGTGGTTTTGTGAGCTTAGTAATTCGAAGGAGAAGAACACAATCAATGGTTCCACCATTGTTGACTTTCTGAAAAGGATCAACTTAAGTGCGGCTTTGCCAAAACTTGAATGATTAGACTGTTTGATACTGAAATTTCAACAAGTGCGTGTAGAAGCAGTGTCATCTTCATCATCAAGTAGAAAACCTTTCATATAATTACCTTAAACATCCTTCATTGGTGATAGATTTTAACAAAAACAAGCTGAAAAGAAAATGATTACCGGACAAACGGAAGCCTCTTTCAGTTTTATTAGTTATCCACTCTCCTGTCTCGCGAAGCTTCTTCTCCACTGGCCCTTCAAACTTGCTAGGAAAGTTCATCATTGACATGTCGAATTTAGCATTCTTCTGTTCTTCCAAATCCCTGAATATGTACATCAGAAACCTCAAAATTTCAGAACCACAAACTCATGATATACCCCCAAACTTAGCTCAACACATTTTTAAATAAAACGAGCAAAACCCCTTTTCATTTTATCATCATAAATCTCAATCAATAAACGGAATTCAAAACTAAAAGTACAGTGGAAGTATACATATATGAACAAGACCAGCAGGGTCACCGTCACATTTCACACTTGGATGATGATGTTGATACTGAGATTCAAAATTGTAAGAACAGGGAACAGCATACCTGGGGTCGGCATCACGAAATCTGCCGGCACCAATAGCACGTTCGATTTCGTTGACAGAAGGCTGCCTTGGCTTGCGTTGTGGTTGGTTTTGCTGCTTCTTTCTTGGTAGAATTGTTGGGGTCTGGTTTCTGCTGCGCAATGGAGGTTTGGTGGGATTGGCTTGGAGAGGTGGTGGAGGTGGTGGTGAGCCATTGTTGTTGTTGTTGTTGTTGGGAAGGGAAGCATGAACAACGTTTTTGGTTAGGGAAAGGCAAGAGGATAAGCTAGACATGGTGGGTGGTGGTCTGGTATTCTCACCGTTATGTCAGCTAGCCTGGTCCAACTGATAAATATCTTCAGAAAATTAAAATAATGTAAACATGAGAATGACACGACAACACAAAGTTTTATAAACATTTGTTTATAAACTGACGTAGTTGTCAGACCAAAGGAAAAGCCAGCAATTCTTCAAAATGAGTGAGAGTTTTAGCCTAATATTTAAGCTTGGCGACATTTTTTAGTGGGGAGAATTTAATGGACCAGCCTCAATTGGCTCAAAACAAATCATCTCATCATCATCTGGGGTGTAAATTAACAAACAAAACTTTTCATTCATCTGCTCAGTATACCATGTACAAGAAGTTGAATTCCAATCTAGGCATATGAAGGGGCATCATCAGCTGCCCTGGTACTAAAACAATTAGATTAGTTTTAGTGAGTCAACCTTACCCATCAATTTAAGGGTAGATTCATTCAGATCTATGAAACTTTTGAGCGCAAACATATCACTATGAAGTATGCACTCTTCAGTGGCTTCAGAACAGTGCAAAAATGGAAAATTCTAAGCAAAAAATCATGTCGTAAGTACAGAGTTTGACACTGCCTCCTCATGTAGGTAGAGTAAGTACAGAGTTTGACACTGCCTCCTCATGTAGGTAGAGTCCTCAGCAAACGAAGTGCCCGGGTCCACTGTGGTCTTTGTGATAGAACAATTCTCCTCAAAACCGGCACTGCTCCAGCAGCTACAATAGCCGAATGATTCTCACTGTCCATGCTCAGATTATACAATATTGCCAAACATGCATCAATGGCCCTCTCACTCCCTTCTTCAATCAGTTTCACCAACGGAAATATGCCTCCCTCGGAAGCAATGGCTCGAGTGGAATCAACCACCCCTTCGGAGATTATTCTGTTGAGTTCTACAACAGCAGCTTCCTTTGCTTCCGGAGAGAAAGAGGTTTTGATCTGCTCCATGAGTCTTGGAATGGTCTCGTAAAGAGTTACTTCCATGTTGATTGGGTCCTCGAAACCTAGCCTGGGACCAGAAAGAGAACCAAGTTTCACCAAACAAGCAGCAACCCAATCTTTGTTGTTAAGGGGGATATTAGACTCCAGGATATCGCAGAGCAATTTGGTGAAATGGGCGGAATCTATTTTTTGGCAGAAGTTCTCAGAGTCGAGCAGTTTAGTAAATAACCGGGATGCTGCTGATATAGCAAGACCAGCTTCTTCAACTTCAAGGGCATATTTTTCTGGCTGCTGATTAACTACTTCAGATTCCATGTCTGCTAAATACCGCATGCCAAAAAAAAGAAGGTATAGTTAATCAAATCTGAAAACAAGCACTATTCTTACTTCTTCGTACCATATGACAAACAATATTTCAGCTTTTACACGCAATCTTTTATGAAAATCAAATATTCAATTTCAAGTTTATTTAAAAACAACTGTAATCATATCTCAATGGAGGCATTTGTGCCTACAAGCTGAAGAAGCAATACATTAGTGCTTTTCAAGCCCATTGCTAAATTCTAAATGAAATTCATTAAAAAACTTCCAATACCTTCAAGAATCTTTTGTTGGAAAACGACATCCAAACCAGATTCTACATCCACTGAAATGATGGTTTCCATCCTTGGGTCAATAACTGTACAGAACTCGAGGATTGAAGTAGCTTTTCTTTGTAATCTTGGGGTTGGGGTCTTCAATATCTCAACCAGGTGAGCAATCACCCCAAAGTCGAGCACACTTTCCCTATACAGACAGAATTGTAACTTTACTTGGTCTTTTTTTCAAGAAGGATAAGGAAAGCAGGGCCTCAAAACAATGAACCACACAGAGAATTTGGTGATATGGAAGGCAAACATTTGCATTCTGCTCATTTTATTCTTCCTAGGTTTATCATGGAGTACACGAAGCTATAATAGCAAACTTTCACCTTTAACATATAATATAATGGAGAAAAGGAAAAGTTCCAATAATTTTAAGCAACAAAATAGAACACAGAAAATACAAAGGAGGGGAGATGGAACCTGGGATTTGTTTTTGATACACATTTATGAGCTGCATCTGCAGTCATCGCTGCAGCCGACCCCTCTTTTGATCCATTTACTGGTCCATCATAAAACTGGAATGAATGAACATATCTGGTAAGTCAATTGATAACTAAATCTAAAAGGTTTCAAAGATCTTATCAAGAAACCATTGGCCAACCTTTGACTTCATTTCTTTACTTGGATCTAAGATCCGGGCAAGAATATCAAGGGTCTGCATTACAGCAATTATTCACATGATCAGCTTAAACTAGAATCATTTCCCAGAAGATTTGTGGATAGACTAGAAGTAACATAATGAATGACCTTTTCCATCAAGATTTCAGGGATCTTTGGTTGCTTTAAAACATTAATCAAAGGATCTATAACACCTTCAGCTTCAATTATCTGGCAAACACCGTTGCTGCATCAAGCAAAACAAGATCCTATTAGCATGAAGTATGGTGTCAAACATTAATTGTTCTGTATAATTTTGAAAGACTGTTCACCCTGTTAATTTAGGTTTTAAAAATATTTGAGTTTCATTCAAAAAAACCCAGAATCAGAGACTTGAAAACTGTGAATGATTTATTACCTGACAGACAACTTCTCTAGAGCTCGAGTTACTGCCAGTATGACAGCATCATTCTTACTGTCTAGAAGCTGTACTAAAGGCTTAACTGCCCCAGCTTCCTTGAATGCAATCCGTATATGTTCATTGATAGATGTGTCAGCAATTGACTCTGCAGCTCTTGCTATTGCTGACTCATCTTCAAGTCCAAGAATCAAAACTAATCTAGCCACACCATCCATCCATGGCAAAAGTGTGAGTTGTTTACCAGTGGTTACTTCAGATTGATTCTTTTCATCTTCCAGCTCAATGGCCCCAATACGAGCAAGAAACTGCTGCTGCGTCCGTCCAACAATTGCATTCATCTTGGCTTCCTCTATGTTTACATTCTTGTCATCAACATTTAATCCAAGGAGTAATTCAGAGGCACCAAACCTGGAAGGAGTTTTAGAAGTCTGTTCAATCTCCGTACCATCTGGTAATCTCGGCCATGAATACAAACCGGGTCTGAAGGACTTATAAGCAGCTGCACCAATCATGGGGACTGGAACCAGACCTTCCTCTACAATAAGGATTCTGTAATATTCATCCTTACATAGTTCCAACAGAGCATTTCTTGCCTCCTTTCTAATTACTTTAGATCCTTCAATGTCAGTCCTTAAGAGCTTTGCCTGCATTAATAAAGAAAATTATATCATAATCAAGCAATAAAAAAAAGGGGGCATCCCTAACTATGATTTATAGATTGAATTGCTTAATCTTTGTTTAACACGTGATGCATACAAGACAATCCCAAATTGACTACTACATATCAAGTACCATTGACAACGAAAACCATCATACTTACCTAAAGCCATTCGATCCAACTTGAAAACTAAATCATACTAGCAACAAAGAATGGTAGAGGAAGTCTCACCAATTTTGGTATAACACCTGCTTCAACCATAATGCTGTGATTAACGTGGCTTAATGCCAAATTGGCCAGCACCCCGCCTGCTGCTTCCTTCAACTTTATGTCCTCATCATCCATGGACTTCACAAGCAACGGCAAGACATCACTGTTTGCAATTTTTAATCTGAACTTCTCATCCACAGACAAGTTCCACAGAGCACTTATAGCTTGCTCCTTCACCTGCAGAAATGTTATAACAACCAACCTCACTTTTCTACATCAAGAAAAATGAGGAAAGCAATTCCACTGGTGAAATACCCCATCCTATACCTCAGGAGACAAAGAAGGTCGATTTAGCAACCCAGTGATCTCTTCAATTGCTCCACTTTGTGCTACCACATCTCTATACACGTTAACTAGAGATATTGATCTCAAAAGACCAGCAGCAGCTTCACATGTAGAACTGGTGTCTGACCTTAGTAAGTTTACAATGAGATTTATGCAGCCAGGAAACTGCATAATGGCATCAACATACTTCTTTCCTCCAAGTGAATATTTCCAGAGTGCCACTATTGCCTGTTCTCTATCAAGAGAATCATGGTCCAGCCCAAGCATCCGAATAAACAAGGCAACATAACCATCACCCAAAGAACTAGATTTTATTTCTTCGGTATCCTTAAAATAAAAAGTGGCAAGAATCAGATTAACAATTTTTCCTCCTCATGAAATATGTTAATCACCAAAAATACAATTACTGATAATAATGAAAGTATAAGAATGAGAACTTACAGTGGGAGTATACTGTTGTGGGGTGGCATCAGCCGCACCACCACCACCACTACCACTGACCCTCGTGAGGACTGTACGAAAAGAGCGTGATTTGGGGTTAAGGCTTTGGAAATGGTTTGAAGAAAAGAAGGGTCTTGGCCTTCTGTTTCTGGGTTTTGTGGTTTCAGCTGAAATGACTTCCATATGGGTGTTTGAGATTGAGGGTAAGGGTTGGAGGAGATGAGGTAGTTTGACTGCCAAGGATGCTTGGGCTGCTGATGCCAACATTTTGGCCGATTGAAACAGAAATTTGAAGTTGCAGTCAGTTTTCGGGTTTTCGAAGAGGTTTTCCAGTTGGTTCCATTCAAGACTCAATCTTTAGATGGTCTGGTTTTTGGGGTTTTCCATTTTTTTTATTTTTGGATTGGGGGTTTCTAATGATTTTTAGCCTTATTTGCCAAAAAAAATATATTATGCAATTTGTGCGAATGGACTTGAGTGAATCTGACTGGACACGTGGCACTAATAAATATATATAATTATCTTATTTGTTCCTTTTTTCAATTTTATTCGTTAAGAAATTCCATGCATTTTCTGCCATGAAACTGAATTCGTAAAGATAAGAACACGCACACAGAAAGCTCTAAAATGAGCTGCTCATTCACCTTCCAAATTCCCCAGGCTTTGCCTTCTCTTAGCCATCCACGACGTACTTCTGTCACAATCACTTCTCAGCAAAGACGGTCCTATGATTCTAAGCCTGAAAAGGTATGCTTTTTTTTTTTTAATTTGTAAATTCCATTCAACTTTTTCCCAGTATAGTTTCATAAGTTTTATTGAGCTG